GAAACAGTCCCTGATTGGGATCAAAATGACCTCTGATCGCTCGAATTTGGTTGAATTTTAAACCAACTTGACGTGAACATGTGTTTACCATTATGGTCTGTCCGTGAAATGGTGGATGGCACATTCAAAATATGATATTTTTTATTTCGAGTGTCAAAATTCCCCCCCCCCCCACACTCGGCCAATTTTCATGGAATCAAAAAACCACGTCGAGTATGTGAAGTAATATAACGTGTTTTAGTACGAATTTTGAATCAAATCAATCACATCACATTACTAAGAAGCACGGTCAAAGGGAACCTAAATTGCAAATTCTCCTTTGCGAGGACTAATCAGGATATTTTTGTACGAGCTACGGCGAACCTATAGTTACTGTATAAGGGTTAATTATTCACTGGGTTTTAATTTTGATTATTTCGCTGACTGGAATTAAAACCCAGTAAATATGTAACGTTGAGCATAGAACACATTATCTGAATGATGAAACCGTGAATTTAAAACCCACTAAATATGCCTGAAATGCTAAATCAGCGAAATTTAAACCCAGTGAAAATTAATCAGTTGTATCAGGTAAACCACATAAAAACTTTGACGCAAATATAATGTTAATAAATGTTGTAATATGTAATACAATCATATATGGCTTTATACGTAAATGTAATGCGTCCTAACATGTAAGCAAATAGCATCTTTGGCATAATGTAATATCTTGGTAACCAAATGCCATTCTTAGACAGCATGTAATGCGTTGAATACAATAGGTAATCGAATACTGCCTTAGACGCAATGTAAAATGATGTGATGGGCGACCGAATACGACCTCGTACGTAATATACTATGAGGTTATTACAAGGATACTGCAAAGTATGCACTAAGACAGTACAATGGAGTATCGGGGTCGATGCGTCCGCGTGGTGTCTGAGTGCATACTTTGCAGTATTCTTGTAAATAACCTCATAGTATTACCTTATTATTATACATCATGGGAATGCCAAAATTATTATTGCCTAATTAATATGTACGGATTAGTATTTTCATCAGTTTAAAAAAAATCTCACACAATATCTTCACATTGCAATATCGTGCTGAACTGTTATATCGGTAAAACATTGCATGCCATGCCATATTATGTAATGTAAATACATGATGATAACCATCAGTAGTTATATGGAACATACACCTGTTATCTAGTCTATATACCTTTTGATTATATGTGAATTATATTTCACCGGCATATATTATATTGACATATACTATAAACAACCTGCAACCATCGAATCTGTTCAACCGGACATCTATCTATATTATTATTATTAAGAAATGCTTTACACAACGTTTACAAAATTGGCTTTATTGAGTTGAACTTGAACGCGCGCATGTTAGCAACAACAACCCGAGGCGGACAATGGTGCAATGAACATGGTGTAACATATGTAACATTCGTAAGATTCACTTGCTTGATCAAGGACCTCGCAATGAAATACACATAACATACCCTGTAGGCATGGATACATCTTTTTTTTGTATTCGTTAGATATTATTGTCAAAGATACCCAATAGCAGCCACGAGAATTTAGAACATCACAACATGGTCACACAATAATCATATTAAAGTAGGCCTAAAGTTCCGGCAAAGTATTATGGGTATAATAAATCAAAAGAGTGTTTACTGGAAGATGCGTCAAATTCAACTTGACACATCTTCTACGAGTGCCAAAACAGGAGCAGATCATAATCCTGGATTTGGAAAATGAGTAGGATATGTCAAACACAAAATAATTGGTGAGCAAGTCAGAACAAAATGTGCAAGATGAACTATCAATTTACTGTTCTGCCATGGTAGGCCCTAGTCTGTTTACGCTGGCACTGTCAGGAACAAGATCTTTTAGGAAATTTGCATTTCCAAAACCAATCAGCCAACCAGGTTAATAGCTGCGTCTTCTCGGATTGCCATAGCATAGCCTATGGACCTTCTATTATCGGGTATACACAGCCTCGTGATTTTACTAGTTTTTGTATCCTGATATGTTTTCTAGGATCTCAACACGGAATATAGGTGACAGTGTGCCTCCAGCCGAGGGATCAACACGAAACGCCATACCAGAGATAAAATTGGGAGTGACAAGTTCATGGCACCTCTGATTCTCTGAACTTGAAGGTTGGTTTATGCATAAAGTGAAATTCAATGAACTTGTCACAAAATAATATGCCTGTAGCTCGCTGCACATGGGGTCAAACCTTCAAAATAGTATTGAATATATATTTATAGTGACACTCAATGCAGTGTTAATTACCTTCATACTATAACATGTGCACATACAATTGATACTATCAAATGATTCGGATGCATGACAGTTATAATAAGAGGATAATACTTTTTTTAGATTTGAGGGAGCTGCGATATTTATTTTTCACTTTATTCCTCATATATTTGCTTGTATCCGAATCACATTACAAATGGTAAACGCATCGTGATGCCTCGTGTAAAATGTAATATCATACATCAACGATTTTTAAGATAAACGTGCGCGACTGGTATGATATATGCAATTTATTATGCAGTCACACAAATTGATAGATGATCATAAAATTGCGAAACAGACGCACATTTCGAAAAGTGTCATGCAAATAGGCAAGTCTGCTAAAGCGCTGGTTAGCAAGAAAAGTCCTGACCCGAAAAGTATGCAGAAATTGTTACAATGATAACCTCGTTCATTTGCGTTAACACAATATAACTTTACGAGTTATCGCGACTTTCTGTGATGTTATTGGTTGAAATATGTCTGACAGATGTGCGAATGAATGTCTGGGTGTTCAAAACATACATAAAGTGTTGTTTGCATAATTATGCATAACATGTACATTTCACTATCGAGCTCACTTAGTACCGAAAAGGAGATTATTTAACTTGGTTCGGTATTCCGAACATTTTACTGTCTATTTCCCTTTGGCGCAAGTTAAATATCATTTTTCAAATGTTTTTCTTGCCATCAATTGATTGTATTATTTGTTCAACAAAAAACAAATCATGATATGCGGGGCAGATAATTATGAACGAAAAATCTAAATAAGGTGGAAAGCATTGTTACACGTTGAAATTCGTGATGCCTGCTATCTTGGAAGCACGGATTAACAAAAATGGAGCACATCCAAATTAACAAGAAAATCATTCTACCGAGTTTCACTTCAAAATGTCAGCAAGGTCTTTTTATCTAGTTCGTAAATGTCACATACGAAATTACTTAATCAGTCAATGTCAATTCATGATAAATGCCTCAAGCCACCTCAGTAATGGATGCATCAGTTATTGCTATTGTTAGCATACCCGGGCAGTTGTGGAACTTAATGTAATCCACCATATGTCTATATTCGAATTAGCCCATAACATTGATAGACATAACACATGGTTAGAACAGCGGAAGTTGTAAAGTCGGGCATACCAGCCTTGAGGTTCACAGCCACAATTGCCATTCAGTGTCATTATTCTGAAGTAGGTTCATTAGAAAGTCAACATCCAACACTTTGCTATAAGCATTTCATTAATCATACTGGTCAACCATGTAATCATCGGATTATATACAATTAAATTTCTGCTCAAAAATATACAGATGGAATAATGTGGTAAACCAATACAGATTGTTTATTAACTGAATACACTTGTCAAATTCGAAATACTGAGAAACGAAAATCAAATTTAATCACCTATAGATTATGGAATTCAATCTGTATAGATTAGACTTTAATTTCGGGACAATACGTGCATACTTTACCACAAATTACTGAATTTGTATTACTATTAAAGCACCTTGTAAAAAGAGATCACTATACAAATTATGAAATAAAATCAATATTTTTATCAGTTTTAGGGTATTTGGAAATATTGTTTCCTGAGAGTATTGGGCCATTCCAGTTTATATCTGCACCCCCCTGTTGATGTGGTCGGATTTACAGCACTGTATGATGGGGAAAATACCCCGGAATTCCAACTGTATATGGAGAAACAGAATCTGGAAATCCAGAAGAGTATGGAAAAAAAATTCTTGGAAATCCAGGCAGTTATGGCTACGAAAATTAAATATGGCCTAGTTGGGCAAGTATGAAATAGTTATTACTGAAATTAGATAAGGATGATGGCACAAATGAGCTCATCAACACCGTGAATCAGGACTAGTTTGGATTTTCATTATCAAATATAAAATTATGAACTTGGTAAATTAGCCTAATGATGAGAGTTATATTTGGAAATCCTACTCTGTATCGTGGCACAATGGAACTCATCGAACACCATAAGTAGGAACTATAGTTTTGGATTTCCATTACTGTATGGTGAATGGTGATTTGAAAATAAAACTTTGTATGACTTATACACCCATGGAAATTATACCCTATATGAAGTAAACACACAAGCTCATCAACAGGGGGGTCCAGATATAAACTGGAATGGCCCATTATATCATGACATCGTGCATGCATTTGAATGCACTATTCAGAATAGATAACAATTACCAGGACAAATTATTACTGTAGAATACTTTATTTTCACTTGGATTGTATTTTCGCTATTTTCACTGAAGGGATGTTTCAGTGAAAATAAAATCCAGTGAATATACTTTTTCACCTATATTTCACGTGCAACTCCATTCAAATTCCATACAAAAACCCTAAAAACCCTTTTCAGCGAAAATTAATTCCAGCTAAAATAAAGTATTTTACAGTATACTGTATATAGTGTTACAAATTAATTTATGTTTTTGCCTCAAGAAAACAGTTGTGTTAAGAAGTGTTGATTTTTCAGTATAGGATAATGCATGATCGGACTCGAATGTGGCAACCATTCAGATATTGTGTGATAGACCCAAGTGAAGTTCAATGTCTGAAAAATGACTGCACAGCACGAGCACATTATCTGACTTGAAATACGTCAACCACACCTAGAAACTATATTGGCTAAAATCACATGCACACCTGTTTTGAGCTGTTTTGTTTGGCACCTCTTGTAATGTACATGTTTAATCATACTAATACAGATACTAGTGGATCTTTATAACCGTGATTTGTTCAATATAAACATCATCAAATCATCATATACTACAAATCAAAGTTTAGCTGAATGCCTTATCAACTGGTCCAATGTCTGAATTAAAAGATCCAAGTCCCTATCAGTGGACATCCTATGTTTTCCACACTTTCTCAAAATCACATCTACATCATTACTTTTCAGTCTCCTAGCAATGTCCAATGAAGATTCAGATGGAACTGTGTCATCGTCCATGCCATGGATGAGCCTTACAGGACAAGTAATGTTGATGCTGTCTCCTAGCAACATGCTCTGGTATTTCATTAGATCTTCAGCCTGCATCTATGGAAGGAAAGCAGATATATCTGTATTATATCGTCAATTTAACAGATGACAAGTGTTTCACTATCCCATGTCCCACCCAAACACACACACATGCATACATTCTGCAGTCTTAATCATAGCCATTCCAGCAACAATCCTCAAGTTGTCCTGCTCATCCTCTATTTGACAATATAATGATTATATCTACAACTGAATAGTGATATAATTATGGAAATTACCCAGTAAGCTATTTTGACATACTTTCCAATAATGTTCACTAATAATTACCTAATCATAATTTTCTTACATACAAATTTACATATTAGATACAATTTACTTAATATATTTTAACATATGGCTAATTCTGTGCTAATTCATATGAATTACATTCATTGCCACCTTGAGGTGCCTGGCTTGTAACAAGTCTGCCCTGTTTTTGTTATACATGTATGTGGTGTCACAAGTGGTGCGTCTTGAGCAGATTTTACCAGTCCTGCTCACAGTGCCCGGAAAGCTTTGAGAAAAAATGGCAAAACTGGCAATGCCACAGGATGTGTTTTTAAAATAAACATTTACACAAATTTTTCCTACATAGCAACATACCTAAAAAGAATACATTTACATACATGACTTTCATTGTCACAGACAACTACTACTACATCACCTCTGGGCAGCGATGTGAAAACACTCATTGAAAAGTAGCAACATGTATGCGCCAATGGTGGTTTTTCAAGAGCCACAACATATTTGCACTTGTTTCAATGTTTACATTTTCCCTTGTCTGTCAGCTTCATTATTGATGTCACACATACCATATTTGTTTATATCAACATCACAATAACGTGCAATGAAAATAGAGTACCATTAAACTGAACCAGAACTTCCATAAAATTATTACTACAAGGAGGGAAACAATGTAAAATAATAAGACTATCTAGTGAATCTCATGAAGGCTTATGGCAAGTATATCGACCGATTGAGCTGAGGTTGCTGCGACCACATTTTGCCTCATCTTACCTTAACGACCTTTATTTTATTACTAAATGCTAAATTCATTTTTTATTTCACTTACAAACATGCAAATCAAAGTAATTGTTGCTCATATTTACACAAGAGGAGATGTGGAGATAGAACGCATTTGTTTTGGCCAAGACTAGGATAAACTGTATTTTACATGCACCACATGAAACCTTGACACTCATTGTAATATATGTGATCTTGCATGTGCTTTACCATACAGAGTCACATTTATGAAAATTTACATAATGTGTTTTGACTCCTATTAATCAATGAATATTGTATCAATCTGGTGACAAAATCTAAAATCAACTTTTTTCATATTTTTTTTAATAATAACTATTCAGCACCGGTCACTGGTAGCATAGTGGTTGTCGCAACAGACTCATGATCGGTAGACCCAAGTTCAAATCCTACCTTAGGCTGAACATCAAAAGGGTCGACCCCTACCCTGGGTGAGTGTGTCACAGACTCAATGGGAAGGCCAATTCCACTGGCCAAGATTCATTCACTCACGAATGCAACTTTGGGGGAACCTTGGTTAAGGTCCGCAGGTGCTTGTGTTTGACCGAGCCTGGTTGACGCCAGGATAGCGCATTAAATTGTCACTTGATAGGAAGATGTAGTCCCAAACAGGAAATGACTTCTGTGGCAAAATGCACTATGTGTCAGCACTTGCAATTTGAACGTACAAAAAAAAAAGTCAGGAGAGACAACAGTGACATTCAAAGTCCGGAACTGTCGCCTGGCACAAAAAAATATTTAAAAAAAATAAAAAAAAAAATAAAAATAATCAGCACTATAACCAGCACTATTTTGGCTATCAAATATAGGCTTCCAGACTGACCAGTGGATTAACCACTGAACCTTAGCACTTTAAACTTTATTTAAGTGATTTAGGCATTTATGTGGACAGGATGGGGTTGTATAAGTATTTGCATGATTTCAGAATTATTAAAATCCAATATTACTCAGATTGTTGAAAAACTAGCCAGATGTTATATTTTTATTTGCACATTATAAAGTTAAAAATTCACATTATTTGAAATCAAAGTTTGTTAATAATGGGCAAGGTGTCTGATTAACCAAAATCGCAGAAATCCCAATATCTTTAATTTTATGAACAAACACAAGTTGTGACTTGATCTGTTAAATCACACACAAGCACACATCAGTGTATTAGGCCACATTTTGTGTTCATTCTATATTCTGTATTCACCATTGGCTGCAAATTGTATTTTTTTGTTTTTGACTTGTTTTTTTTTTTTTTTTTTTTTTTTTTTAAAAAAGTTTTTATTTTTTGTTTTCTTTTTTAAATTGTAGTTTTTTGTTTTTTTTTAATTTCTTTCTGTAAAACCCTTTTTATCCTTTCCTAAGGATTTTATGCGTCTAATAAAAAATATATATAAATATTCTCTTCTGTACAACATTTTTGATGAAAATGAATAAACTGAAATTACCAAAGTATCTGCAATCTGATTGTGTTTGGGAAATGCAGTAAAAGCTGCCACACCTATCAGTCCTACAATTCTTTCTGGTCTTTCTAATGCCAATAGTAACATCATGCACGTCCCCATGCTGGAGCCTACAATATACTAATAAACAGAGAAACACATGAAAGTATGACAAACATTATGGTCACAATCTAACAGCCAAACCTGAAAATCAGAAAATAATTACTGGGTAATAATAATAATTACATTAAAACATTTAAAAATTAAACATTATGGAAAATATTTCATTTAATAATCAATCAACTGAAATCAACAAATCAACTATCTTCATGATTATCAACAGTTCTCGATCATTACATAAATTACAAATATCAGGGTTTTTTCTACAAAAAAACTGCATGATGGAGCACTGTGTTAAAATGGAGCATTCTATGGCTTCCTTGGGGCCAAAATTACTATCAGACAGGTCACAGTTGAAGACTGGTCAATCAAAATTTCATGGTTGCCAGAGGATCTGCACCCCAGGTTAAGGGGGCGCATACAAATGTAGCCCTGACATATGAGCATTGTGCCCCTGTTTCTTTGTTTAAAAAAATCCCTGGATATTATTTTTGTGGTCTAGGGAAATAGTTGTTACATTGTTTACATATAGACAAAACATAACAGGTTAGAATGAAACTGATATGTACACAAACATAAACGCAAACACAACTCATACATATTTGAGCTTTCATCAGAAAAATTATATTTGTGGAATATTTTACTGACAGAATACAAGTTAGCTAGAGTGCATAAAGCAGTTTGACACTCAATAGCACTCAAATACAGAAATGAAAGAATAAACACAATTGCAGGTTGAGGGCGCAAGACTTTGATGTTGATATGGCAGTCTATTGTTGGGGGCGGAGCTACATCATAGAACATTTCATGTTGCTAAGCCGCGCACCACTGTAACATGCATTTCTATGGGCTCTGATGTGGAACACCGACCAAAGAGCCGATGAAAAAGGCTGAAGTCGAGAAAACAGCACAAAGTCAACTTTGAGGTAATCCCGAGCATCCGAATGTATATATGTTGCACATTTAGGTGTCATGCCACTAAACAACCAATGACCGTTTGTAGCCCTCAATTTAAATGCCTTGCAAGAACCAATTACATTTTTTTAATATTTTTTTTCTGCGATTCTCCCTGTTTGAGGGCGTGATCACCTGGGTCAAAGGTTAGCGGCTGTGTACCTGTGGATTTATTCTGTGTGTATTAGGGTGTTCTAATCTTGGTGTTTTTCCAGTGATTTCTCTCTTGAGCTGTGCTTGATTACTGGCATGTTGATTTCCCATTGTTGAGCCATGTTTTCAAATTTGTTTATCATTTTTATATAGCAATCTCATCATATGTTAACATCGTCTATGGAGTTTCAATTAGTGGTATGAGCCCCTACAGGGTAATCTTGTTACTTATTGTTTTCTGGGATGTCGGCTCCCGAGAATAAGTGTCATATAGTACTACATGAGGGTTGTACAGGGGCACCAGGGATTGAAATAGAATTTTTTCCTGCATGCACAGTGTGCATGTTGAAGTTGAAATTTACCTGCACGAACTGCATAAAATATACGGGTTCTCGATTGATGCGATCACGAAAGAATTAGCTTTTTTTTAGTTGTCTTACAATATTGGCTGAACTTAATTTAGGCTTAGTGAATATGCGTTAATTTCTACATGCACAGTGTGCACATAATATTTAGAGTTTACTTGCACTAGCTAATAATCTATGTGCATAGTGCAGTGTGCACAAGGGTATTTCAACCCCTGGGCACTGATCAAAACAGCAGTGAGAACACTTTCCATATAAATATTTTCCTACCTGAGGTCCCTGTGTTAGTCGATCAAAAACAGCCAAACAATCACCAATGCATGTTTGCACAGTTTTCACTGGATTGATAGAAAAATCTTCAGTTTGATAGTCAAACCTGCAAGAAATAAAACAATAATCTGAAAGGTTATCCCGGGCAATGTTTTGCATATTGGATCATATTTTGAAAAATCAAAACATAGCACAAGTTTTGTAATTTTTTCTTATGATTGTTTGTACAATCAACTGTTTTTATGTCCACACCCAATTTATATCCTTTTAATTCATTTAGGCCAGACTTTTATTATCCCTTGTTTCGCGAACCCGCCGAATGAACAGGAACCGAGAATGAAATAAAAATAAAATTTTATTTCAGCGTAATTTCTTACGCCCGCCTACTTGTAAGCGCAAAAAATTGCTAAAAAAATATTATTTTTAATCTTCATTTTTTACTGCCCGCCGCATAAGAAATCCAAGTTGCATTTTTGTGGCAGTATCATGATCAAAGTACCGAAGTCTCGCATAGATGAGAAACAAAGTTATAAATGGAATAACATTTTATTTCATTTCTTCTCTTCGATCAATGATCTCACTTACAATTCTTTGAGAATCACACAAATCTAATGGAAAAAAAGAATAAATTTAATTTTTTTTTCGCCCTCCTCAAAAAAATTGCCTTTAAAAAAACTCGAGAAACAAGGAATAAAAAAAGTCTAGCCTTATTATAATAAAAATTATTTTTTCTACCACATTTATTTTCAAGGCATTCGTTTGTTTTTGTATCACCAGGCACAGGTGTTGAAACATCACCCTAAGAAGATCATTTGTGACATGTGATGTTTAGATAAATACAGTAATTAGAAAATATATCACAAAAAATATCAATATAGAACTCTGCATGAAACAAACAAATTGAATGAATTTGCTGGTCACTCATGTTGCATAGTCTTTAGTTTAAAAATCAGTCTTTAATCTGTCTTTTCACATAAAGAATCCCAAGAATACCTCTATAACATAATCTATAATTAACAAATAAATCACAGACAAGTACATACATCATTGTGTCAACACAGGTGGCGCTATTCAGCACAGACCTGTGTCTTATGACGCATAACTAGCCTCTGAGGGATAAATATCAATCAGCCACCATTTTAGTCAGCGTTTCTTCCGCGGAACTATATACAAGTATTTTTTTCTTGTTTTGAACACATTCTCTCCTTATTTTTAGCAAGATTGAATCTTTAATGATTGATCAATTAAAATACCGCACAACACTCATCAGCATATCTTATCTTATTAACATTAAAATGCATGTAAATTGCGAGGTCAAAGGTCTATTGTTTCTCAATATTGCATTGACAAGCAGATCGCCGAAAACCAATCAAATAGCGCCACCTGTGCTGGCACAATGTGGAAATAGTTCCGACCACTTTTCCCAGAGTTCCACGCGCAGTATGTGTCAGATGCGCCCTCTATTGGGTGTTTTTCCAAAATTGTTATGTATGCACACAGGTCCCAGGAAAAAAAAAAGTCAGAGCATTTTAAATTAGTTACATCACTATAATTATTTATGAAACATTTAGGACAAATAATTCATTACCAAAATATTTAGAATTTCCCCGTTAATATTGCAAATAGAATGTAAAATATTTTGATATTTCTTTAATGTAAAATACTTTATTTTTCGCTTGGAATTAATTTTCGCTATTTTTGCTGAAGGAATGTTTCGGTGTAAATAAAATCCAAAAAATATACCTTTTTTCCTATATTTTACATTCAACTCATAAAAAAATCAATGTAAATGAACTCCATACAAAACACACATAAAGTCTTTTCAGTGAAAATTAATTCCAGCTAAAATAAAGTATTTTACAGTAATTTGTTCTCTTAGATCTTGATTCTCTAATATTGAAAACAAATTCATGGGTTTCATTAAATAGATTACATGACTTACACAATGTATGTAAAATACATTATTTGTTTTCATGAAATATGAAGATGCACAATGACTACTGCCCTCTATCTGTAGGTTATGAGACGATCACAGTCAATGTATGACTACTGCTAATAAAGTACGAACTCAGCAATATCGGTAAACGGTTTCATCTTTATTAGAATCCCGTTCACAGAAATACAGACTGCACAGCTCCAGAAAACACACGAAGCATATGACTCAAAGTACTGCACATGCGCAGTTCACTACATGAAAGGTCAACCGGATGTTTGCCCCAATGCATGCTGGGAGTTTATCGTACATCAAGTTAACAATCTTCTCTATATTTTTTTTTTTGTTAAAGAAGCAAGTTTACAAACTAAATAGTAGTATAGCAAAAGGTTTAGAACATAAATTCACAGTGACAAATATCTGACAAGATCAGAATCACAGAATTTAATAAATGTCCAAAATCCCCTCTTGAAGTACCTTCAATAACACCAGCGGAGAAGCACCTCTCTTAGTGAGGCAGTCTGCAAGTTGATTTTTACTTTCAGACCATATGAACTCTTTAATCTGATTGCTTTCAA